AGCACTGGAGTACTTAGGGAAGAAAAAAGTGGCACATCTGGACATTAAAGGTTTGTTAAGAAGTCAACACATGAATTGTGAAATCAGGATCAGACTGTTTAGATCCAGACTGTTTAGATTCTGGCCACAAAATGGATCAGTCACTTATCTAATAACTAGTAATAATAATAATCCCTTCAAGACAATTCTTTTATGAGTGAAGGGAGGAAAGCTGCCAGGCTGTCTTTAGGTACACTTGGTTAGGGACAAGGACAAATGTCATAAGATCCAACACAAGCAACCATTTGGTGTTTTTCTCCTGCTCGTGTTTGATTTGAGCCTTATCCTTGTCTCTAAGCGAGTGTGCCTAATGATAGCCTACTGGCTTTCTTCCATTAAGTTTAATTGTTAATCTTCAAGAGCACCTGGCTTTCACCTGGAGTTTGCCCCCTTGCCATTGTGAGCTGCCATTTTTCTCTCTTTTTCTTTGATGACAAAGTTTTATTGCCATTTTTAGTATTATATATGACATAATTTAGCTGCAAAAGAAACAGAATGTGCAGTAGAATTAAAGCAAGAGGCCTTTTTTTTTCTTCTCCCTGAAGAACAGATGTTTGAAATCAAAATGTTTATCTCAATGTTTTCTAAAGCTTTTTAAGGTTGTTTCCATTCCTGTATCTACCTAAATATTCATACATTCTGAAATGTTGTTTCAAACAAAACACTCTTCCAAGTGATTTATCCAAATTATAACTATTAAAGACACAACAAAACAAAAAGGATCACAATTGTTTTTTCACCAAAACACAGCCATGCGAGTTTTAACAGCAGCAATGTAACAGATCAAAGTGCCAAAAGAGTCAAATCAGACAAAACAAATAAACGTGTCAGCTTGGAAATAAGATTATACAGAGATTCAGTCAGCTTTCTAATGAGTTATCATCAGTGGATTTGTTGTCTTTGGTGTGCAGCTGTTGTGTGGAACACAAGTGTCACAGATATAGAGCCTCAGCACCTGTGTTGAGAAACCAGACTAGCACTAGCGGCGGGCTGGGAATTTCCCACAGTGTGACTCACCGCTGCACTTTAGAAACGGCGCATGTGCCCAGAATCAGGAGAGCAAGAAAGAAAGGGAGAACGAAATAGAAAGGGGGGGGATGGGACGACGAGGAGGAAGTAGTGATAGAGAGCCAAAGTGCAGATACAAGACGGCACAGACCGAGAGAAGAAAGATGGTGAAAATGAAGTGGAAAAGCGTGTTTAAAAGAAGGAAATGAAAAAAACAGAAAGGGACCTTGGTTTGAGGAATCACAAACAAGCTCAAGCTGGAGGGCAGACAAACAGCCTGATTGTGCAGTCACAGCTCAGGCGCCACCTGGTGTCTGAAATGTCTCAGTAAAGGAAGACAGTGCTGCCAAATCGATTCATCTGCCGGCAGTTAGTTACAAGACTTGACTTTCATCCTGTATTAAAGTGTTTTTTTTATGGCAGCTGTCCTCAAGTGACTTCAAATTTCCTTTTTATTTTATCTTTTTGTCTTAGACTGTTCCTGTCTTTGTAGCTGCAATGTGTCTTATCATGTAATCTATTAACTACACGCATGGAAATAAACACAGAGCCATTAGGAGCTCTGAGCAGAGTGAAGATAAACAAAAGTAGATTATTGACTCTGCTTCTTACCCACAGCTGATAATGTGTTGCTGTCGGAGGACGGTCGAGACACCTTCCTGTGTGACTTTGGACACTCGGAGAGGCTTGACAATAAGGGACTGAGCGTGAATGGGTCCAGAGGTAAATACTGAGTGGTGTTAGTGATTCAGTTAAGAAGAGGAGTTATTTATCCTCCATGTCTTAATTCATTGTTTTCTGATGTAATCCAATATAGACCTGAAGGGCTCGGAGACCCACATCGCCCCTGAGATCGTTAAAGGGGAACCCCGCGGAGCCAAAGCAGATGTGTGGAGCAGCTGCTGTATGTTTCTGCACATGCTCAATGGGTGTCAGCCTTGGACAAGATACTACACCTGTAGACTTTACCTGAAGGTAAACTTCACAGCGACAACACACCTTGCTGTTTCATCCCCACGATGTTTAGCCCAGTCCTTGAATCAGACTTTGACAGAGTCTTCATGTGATGATTACAGATCGCAAATGAGCCTCCGCCTCTGAGGGAGATCCCACCTGAATGTAGCCGTCTCACAGCAGAAGTTATCAAGGCGGGACTTCAGAAGGATCCAGCTAAGAGAGCATCAGCCTCTGAGCTCAAAGACAAAACTTCCAGAGCCCTTAAAGAAGGTAAAAAAAAACAAAAAACCTGCAGTGTACTTTTCTATAGTGTTCAGGTCACTGCAGGCATCCACTGGTATGCATTTGGTTTCAAAGTTATGAGGACAACTTTCCTTAAAAGACTTGATAACTTTCTAAAGTTGTGTTTCATTTTTGCTTCACTGTCTTTTTGTGTACTGAGTTTTTAATCTTAGCATCTGAAGACAAAACTAGCTGTATAAGAAAATGTAGATACATTTTAAGTCTGAAGATTTAGCTGGCGTTGATCGTATCAGCCTGAAAGGAACGCCCAATCCAAATTTTTTGGACCTCACAGATCTTGTACATTTGTGGACATAGTGAGACTTTGTTTTCTGGAAATCTGCGAGTGCTGATGGCTGTCCATGACCTCCTTTCACCCATACTAACACAGCCTTACACAGGCATTCTGCAGACACCCAAAATGCCTTGGATACATCTTCATCATCTCTGTCGAAAGACTAAATGTATTCTGTTCTTGTGATGGCAGTGGGAGGACTCACCAGCCCAGTGAAGGGGCCGTACACAGACCCGCTGTACACTGCCAACAAACCTGCAGACTCCCTGCAACTTCTCCACTGCATCGTTGACGGTGAGGATGAGGAGGAACAGAGGAAGTCTGATTGGAAGGTGGTCATAACAGGGAGTAACACAAAGGAGTTGGCTGACGACAAGGAAGAGAAGGAGGCTGATTCCAGTGAGCCCAAGCGATGCTCACCTTTCTCTCCACAAAAGCTGATCTCTGAGCCTAACCCCGAGAGAGGCACCACCACTGTACTGGAGCTTCGCAAACTGGAGCGAGGTGAGGCTTCTTTCAAGTTCCAGATTTTTTTTATGTTAACTATTTGGACGCTGCTGATCGCTTTCCTGCTTGTTTGCAGATTTCTACCTCAACAGTCTGTCGCAGCTTCACTCAGCTGAGAAGCAGGAGCAGCTTTTGTCTTGTCTCAGCAGTGACCCTTATTCGAACTGGGAAACATGGGACAAAAAGGTAACCCAGAGGAAAATTACTGATTTACATTAAACTCAGAAAGCACAAAAGTTGAAATCAAAATGATAACTACTCAGTCAATTTGAATAATTGTTTCATTAAGCTTAATCTTAACAACCTCCTGTTTGTTTTGTCTATGTCTGTTCCTAACCTGTTACATCCAGGACTCTGGCCGCTGGTCTCTGAGCCCAGCTGACGACTTCAGCTCTGGTGTTTTCTCCTTCAACAGTCAGCCAGATGTGCCGGTTTTCAGTGTGGATCTGCTGAGTCACACACAGCTTCCTCCTCCCTGCTGTTTTGAAGGTGAGATGAAAACAAGAACATCTCTCTTCCTTTAAACCACTTAACAGTAATGTAGAAACAAATCCAACATGTTATTCATTTTCCCTTATGCCATGTGTCTCATCTTGCTCTGTGATTGGCTCAGGGGTGGATGTCTGTATAAGAGACTTCAATCAGAGAAATATCCGCATCAGAGAGAAGCGCTGTGTGAAGGTGGGCCACATCGCCACGGGAATCAGTGATCAGGTGAGGGCGAGTAGCTTCACACGCTTGTGTATCAAGACAAAGGTCTGTCTTTTTGACTGTTTTTAAAAGAGTAAAATTACACTTTTTTTATGCTTTTGTGTTTCTCCTTTTTAGATCTCTGTGCGGGTTTTCACCTTGGAAACTATGCAGGGCCAGCATGTTGCTCACGATGAGGAGGTGCAGGAGTCTGGTCTGGAGCTCTGCTGCGTTCCTGCTCCTGACTTCAGCTCCGCCTGGAGGTGGAGGATCAGAGACGGAGTGCTGGAGACCAGATGAAAGCCCCCTGCTCTCTCTCTCTCTCTCTCTCTCGATCGACCACAACTTAATCTTGACCACTGTCCACATGTTTTATTGTTGAATTGTGTCTGTGTGATATCCTGCTTTTAGGAATGGTAATTATGTTTTAACCATAACTGCCTGCTCAGCAAACTTTCATCTTTGTAATGTGTCTCTTTGCCTTGCGGGTGCTCATGACTCTGCCCAACCACTGAGCTTTTCTGACTGTGATGTTTACATGTTTTTTTATTGAATGGTTGAAATTGAGAAAAATAAACTGTATGAAACTGTTGTATGTGTATTCCTTATTGGTTACTTGATCATCTAGTTTTTAATATCATACTGATTCATTAGTAAAACAAATCCACAGTGATGCTGTTGTATCCAAATTGATGAATTAAATGAATGTTATCATCCTAGACTAAATCAATCATCAATCAACATGTTAGCCTGTCTGTGTCCATCTTTCATCAGAGCACATGATGGAGATGTTCACATGTTCAGCATGAAAACTACTAGCTAGAATTGAATTATATTCAAACGTTCAATTGTAGTCCCCCGAAAATAATTTGCCTTTGTTGTTTTAAATCTAACGACAATATAAGAATAAAAGGTTAAATGAGGTTTCTTTAAATACCAGGATTTTCATGACATTTCGAACATGTATTTATGAGCTCTTGAGGTTGAACGTCAGTGGTTTTAATGACCCCTGACCTTTACTCTGTTGCTATCATACACAAGCTATGTATAGAAATAGCATTACCGTCACATTGACAAGAGTGACCCAATGTATGAGTTTAAAATACTCGGCTGCATTTCCTACAAGCTTACATGGGAAATCTGCACGAAGAAATGAATATATCATCTACCTCACTACCAAGTTGTTGTGTGGTTTGCTGGGTACAAAATAAACCAATTCATATAACATACCATATCGTGTTGATATTTTTTCTCCCATACTGTTAATGCATTTAAAACAATTCCAACACAAATTGGACACATAATACAAATAAACGGTACGTTTAAAGAAAAGGAAAAGCACAGCTATGATAGCATTTCTTCAAAACTATAATCACAACAGTTTTCAAAACCAATTTTTTTCCAGACATTAAAATACTCCAATGACGTGTCTTCAGTCTCCCTTTGAGATAACCAACCATTGTTTTTATTTTTCACCTAAAAGCAAGTGAAACGTGTGTTTTACTTCACACACTTTGAAAACTCTGGTACTCGTAGTCTTCAGCATTATCTCAACACCCATCTGATCGTTGTATAGGTTGATGCAGTTTGCAGTTTGCTCCATGTTCCATCTCTTGCTTGTGTCTCTTTATGTTTTCCTTTCCTCTGTGACAATGTTATTGTGTTTCCAACAGACCAGAAACTATTATCCGTGGATCAGGACTTTAGAGGTTCCTCGGGTGACTTCATGAAGTCCTAATATGGCTTCCTTGGGACATAAGATGATATTTAATGGTACTAAAAAAAAAAAATGTGGCTGAGAATGTTATCATCACCCAGAGGGAGACATTTGTGTTGCCAAAATGTTAGGGAAATCAATCAGCTGATAACTCCTTCAATATTTCACTTAACTTTAAGTGTCAGCCTCCTATATGGAAGTGCAAAAGATCCTAAGTAAGAAGGAATGAGTATCTGGGGACATTCCTCTTTTTTTTGGGATCCCATCATGAAGTAGTAAAGTTTGGCCAAATCTGCCCTCATTAGAGCCATAGGTGCTAGCAAAGAAAAGAGCATGCTGTAAATCGTGCAAGCTTTAAGAGTCCAGCTGGGGCAAATGGTTTACAAATCAGAATCATGTTTCAGAGCAGTACTGCTAAAAGCCTTACAAATAAAATCCCCATTCCCAATAACATACAGGTCTTCAGCGACGGTAAGTTAAAGATTTATTTTCAATATTACAACATACAAGGTCACTGCAAAAAGATTTTCAGGGAGACTTGAAATTGATTTTGACTTTACAAATGTGATAGAAAAAGAGTAAATTTGAGAATATGAAAGTGATTTCATTGTAAAAAAAACACCAAGGCACTGACAAACAAGGAGCATTTAGGCTATAAAAAAGCTGTTTGTGATTTAGGTATGATTGCAGTTTGAATTGCTCACATAAAATACAGTACTTGGAAATTGTGTGACGTGAGGTAAGCATCTCTAAGGAATCGAGCGCTTTCTTTGTCTGTGGAGCAACTTCTTCCAAAGACCACATGGAATATCTGTTCATACCAGGCGGCAACCTCAAGTATTGAAAAAATGAAATCAATGCATTAGTGCAAATCCTGCAGTTTGTTGAGTGTCAGCTTGAGGCTGGCTGCAGATGCACCGGAAGTCACATAAACACCCATTCAAAAAAACAAAAACAAAAAAAAAAGCCTGGTTCAGAAAAAGACATTGGTATGACTAGCTAATGTCTCCATCAACACACATTTAGCATGTGGTGAATTTTTTGATAACTCATCCGTTTTGATTTTTTGAAGGAGAAGCGTTAGCGTGTAGCTGGTCTGACGGGCGGGCGCAATGGAACCATTTGTCAAGAGGCGTAGGACCTGCATCCATTCCAGCTCTTAGCTTGACGCTAGGTTGACGTAAAGTTGGGGTGAGACAGCCTGTATTAACAGGGGGCGGTGGGTTCGTCCACTAATATTTACAGTTTATGGCTCACACGTCTCTGCATTCGAAACTATTTTTTTTTAAGGTCACAATGCTGGTCAAATGCCTAAAGGCAGCCTACAATGAAATTTTCCATAAGCTGTACATTTGTTACGTGAGATGAATGTAAAAGGGAACATTGCCGTGCTTTCACACTTGCACAAAACTCCTGACGTTTGCAGAATGAGCTGCATGTGTGAAGGCAAACAGACAACTTCTTCACTCTGACTTTATCCAGAGTTTCTCCTGCCAGCCTCCTAATATTTCTTTCCGCAGAAAGTCCAGGTAAGCTGATGAGAGAACGCAGCACGATATAAATCAGGGGAATATAGCTCAAGCGAGTTGGAGGGGTGGTGATCTTATTTCCCTGCGATCGGTGCACGGCCAAAGATTGTATGTACGCAACTGGTACGATCTCCGTGCATGGGATTTAACTGCTGCATTACAATTTTCTATTGACCAGGTTTGACCGAACTACAGAACCCCCCCCCCCATCCAACAGGACTAGTCTCCCGCTGTGTGGCGCATGTGTGATTGACCAGATCAGGATGATTTCAGGGGAAGTCCTCCTGAAATTCTTGAGATATTTTCAGGAGTGCAAATGTGGAAACGGCTTTTATACAAATCTTTGAGGTGGCACTTGTGTTAGCTTGAATAAGGTTTAGCTGTGTATCGAAGGGGGTAAAAAAAATGTTTTTTTTTTTTTTGTTTTTTGTCGCCTAGACGTAATTTCTCTGTAGCATCTTCTCGGTACATCTAATTAATCTTTGCAAAACAAATCATATTTTAACTTAATAGAATGTGACCAATCCCATTCAGGTTTCACTGCCAGCACAGATTGACACCAGTTAACACTTAACAAAGTGAAGAAGACAGAAACCATACACACCTTGTTGAGACTCACGGTGAGAGTGGAACTAACAGAAATGCAAACTGAGTAGAACAGAAATAAAACTTAAAGGAAAACAGTGCTGAGAGAAATGTAACTTCCACGTCTTTATCTGATATATTGTTTTGAAAACACATTGCAGTGACTTTTTTTTAAATCTGTACCAAGTAAAAAATAAATTATTTAAAATGCATTCCTTGTTCAAGTCTGACCAACCCTCCCGCCCCTCTCGATTTTGTGCACGTAATCGCGCACCGCTCACTCCCTCAGTGGCGTAGGATCATGGGTACGACGGTGCGTTCAGTCTAATTCCCAATCATGAAAATGAAAGGGAGGCGGAAACGAAAAGTCGCTCCTCATGTCCAAATTCATCGAGATTCCTCTTGTTCCACTCGTTTATTCTGACATTACTTCCTTTTGTTTTCTTTTAAGTGTCAACATCTGGTTCTCCGTAGTACTTTTTTTTTTTTTTGCCGTCCTTCTCTTGCATCCCTTCCTTATATCTCTCACATCTTGCGAATGACTAGAACAGTGGTGAGAACACCAGCCAAGAAAACTCCCACGGTCTGCCATGTGGGAGTGCCGAAGTAGGACCGAATCCCCTCCTAACATTTAAGAGAAGAAGACACAAATATGAATATGCTTCCTAAATGCAAATATAGTAAATGATGATTTTGATCCACTTATTAGCTTCTTACCCAGCCACCTTGCTCCCTGATCCAGTTGATCACATTTTCCTGGAGGTAGTCCAAGGTCCAGTTGATTATTGTTCTGATGATATCAGGAACTTGGGTCATGAGAGCCTGTTGTGGTGTAAATGAGAGATTATTCAGACAGGCCTAATTCCATCAAACAAACATACGCCACTTTGTGTTGTCTTTATTGGTCGGTTAGATACAACAGAGCTGCTTTTCTCACTTTGATGACAAGGCGACAGGCGAAGTAGAACAGGGCGACAACCCGGCCCCAGTTGAACCTCCCATCTGAAAAGATCTCTATGGCGACTTTCACAAACATGTCTTTTGTGGGACTGATTGATGAATTGTTTATCATCCTGGAGGAAATCACATTCAGCAATAAAGGAACAAGAATACAAATAGAAAACCCTTGTAATTCATAATTGCTCAAACTTTGGAATGTGACTGATCCGACAGACGAACAGGTGAGCTCACCTTTGGAGCTCTACATTCCCATCGAGCTCGTCGCCGATCTGCTGCAGGCACTGGGCGAGCTTCTTGTGGTTCGGGTCACACAGCTCACTTCCGCCCAGCTGCGCCCGGGTCACTGTAGCATTGCCGTCTCCATGCCGCCGGACCCGCTCATAGATGAAACTACACAGGGAGACACAGTCAGCAAAACAGACACAATTCAAACAGTATCCCAATTTATTAATTCCCATTCCAAACTATAAAGTTAATACTTACTCCTTTAACAAAACAGCTCCCACTTCCAGTATCTGATCTGTAGTACTGCCTGAAGGACAAAGGTCAGTGTCATGTCATTACAATGCTAATAAAACAACTGATTCAAAACGACTTATATAATACACAGAATAACTAGTCATAACTGAAAAATGTGTGGTGGTGTATACGAACATTTCCTGTCAATCATATCCGAGTGTAAAAAACAATAAAAAATAAACTGTGTTAGCCACACGTAATAAATTTACTTATCAACTTTCTTTACGTCAAAACGTTTCCCGTAAATCTACAGTCACTCCTCTGCTTTCGTTGTTGTTGTTTTTAATAAGGTAGAAGAAGAAACTCACAGTGTACAAAAGGCAGCACACAGCCGAGGGTCTGTTGTAACAAGTGTTAAGTTTATTTACCGAACTCACTCAATGAAGAACTGATGTTACATAAAAATGTATGATTTTTTTTAATTTATTTTTTTAAAATGCGAAACAGTAGCATCCTGATACCTGTGATTCGGTTTCGGTCAACACTTTTTTTTTTTTTTTTTTTTAGCTCCCTCGCTGATGAGAGTTGTGTGTCTATCCGGGGCCAGCGGATGAAGCTAACTTCAAAGGCACAGGGTTTTTTTTTTTTTTTTTTTTTTGCTAGCTTGAGCTAACGCTTGAGCTAACAGTTAGCCTCCTTGCTAAAGTTCAGATGAGCTAATGACACTCCCAAGTAGGCAAACAACAGCGAACAAAAAAAAAAAAAAATTGTTTGTATTTCAGCGGATCTATGCCCATTACATCGTTGACAACAATGTCAGGTCAAATTTAATGTTCGATATTGATGATGCTAACTGTTACCTTGATCGCCTCCTCCCGGGTGTGATGCCATCTTGTTGCGTTGTGTTTAAGGTCTTTCGTATTTCCGTACACTCATGTGACACCGTTTTTTATTTGTTTGTGGCACAGCTGCTGAGGAGAGCGAGTGCAGGGCTCTCAAATGTGCTAACCTGCATAACACTTGACGTGACGTGACGTGACGTGTGATGTCATAGCGTGAAACTGGTACATTTTGATTCGGGAATGAGTTCGCCCCACAAAGGGGCGGGGCCAGGGCCGGCCTCGTTTTGGGCAAAGTACCCGGATTGTGTAGCTCGCGTTAAAATCTTAAAATTCGCCGAGTTGCTGGCTGCGGCGATGTAGATCTGTTCCCCGCAGCACGCACGACATTAGACGGGAGCGCCTTGTGAAGACCACTTTGGTGGACTTCGGGACCACACTAATTAATTAACCGCACCATTTATTTAAAAATAACGTTAACGAAACATTAAAAAAAAAAAAAAAAACATGTGGTTGAATTGTATTAGCCTCGCCTTTCCGGTGACGTCATTTCCCGTCCCTCCTGCTCTTCCGTGCGTCGCGCGCATTCACAGGCCTCTTTACGACTCGGCTGGCAAAGATGGCGGATGCACAAGTATGTCCAAGAAAACGGCGTGGTGAATATAAATCGATATTTTAACGTTTTAGGGACTACCTTCATCAAACATTATTGGACGGTTGCCTTTACGTGATTGTTAGACACGATCATTAGTAATCTCTGACCACATTTAAGATGTAATAATTGGCATTTGTTGTTACCCCTCCTACACACCCGCGTGTAACGTTGAACTAGCTGGGATGCTAATTCGCATAGCCTAGCCTGCGACCACGTATTCTATATCTTACTCTATTATTTGTCCCTCGCTGTGGATGCTAAACAAGTGGTCTCACACCAGGCAAAACTAATTAAACAATACAACCTGAATCCATTAATGCTCTTATATTGTCGTCCTTGACTAGAGGAAGTAATCCTAAGGAGGCCGCGCGGTTTACCCAGTGCTGGTAATGTAATGGTTTTTGTTATAGTGTGTGAACTCGTCTTTTTTTTTTGTTGCAGACCGAGCGGGCTTACCAGAAACAGCCCACCATCTTCCAGAACAAGAAACGTGTTCTGGTCGCTGATGGTGGCAAGGAGGTCAAGGAAAAGCTCCCCCGCTACCACAAGAGTGTCGGGCTGGGCTTCAAAACCCCAAGAGAGGTGACTTATTTTAGACATCTACACATTACTCCAACTACATTAAACACCTCTAATTGATTCAGTTAAGTAGCTGCAAGTGATGTCTTTCTCACGATGGTCTTCCAAGCCTTCAGGGTTCTGACGAAAATGCCTTCTTTGGCGTTACTGATGCAGTCCAGAGTTACTAATGTTATATACTTAAAGAACATGCGATACAGAGTGTAATGATGTACTCCCTTCTCTCCCCCCCCCCTTCAAACAGGCTATTGACGGCACTTACATTGACAAGAAATGCCCCTTCACTGGAAATGTCTCCATCCGTGGCCGTATCCTCTCTGGTCAGTTTTAAAGTTTGAAGTTGTTGGCACTTACTTGGGATGCTGCAACATCGTTTGTATCATATTCTGGTGTGAAAGTTAAAGATCAAGCACAGCGTTTTTTGATGTTGTTTGATGCAGTTATTAACATCAAACTGAGAAATCAAATGTGTGAACTGATGGCTGAAATGAATGTTTGGCCAGCTACTGGTGAAGCAACCCAGTTTTTTAACATGCTGAACTGCTTTCTTGTCACTATCCTGCAAATGATGTTTTCTCACGATGGTCTTCCAAGCCCCATGGGTTCTGACGATACTGCCTAAAGGCAACACTGATGTAGTAAAGTGGCAATCTTGTTACGTAATTTAGAAATGTAGTTTAACTTAAGGAACGTCTAGTCTAAGGAACCCCGTTAGAGGTTGTAAGTGTTAACTAACTTGATTGCTGTTGATCTTGTGATATTCACTTTTTGTGTATTTGTGCGGTGCAGGTGTGGTGACCAAAATGAAGATGCAGAGAACCATTGTTATCAGGCGTGATTATCTGCATTACATCCGCAAGTACAACCGCTTTGAGAAGAGGCACAAGAACATCTCTGTCCACCTGTCGCCTTGCTTCAGGTACAGCTCTTCCTACGTTCTCTCCAGTTCCTGTTGTGAAAGCTAACTTGAGTCATGCATTGTTGTTGCGCTTTCCAAACTTTGACAACTATCTAAAAGCAAAGGCCCCCCTAAGTTTTCATGCATGTGAAATGATCATAATTTGCTGCAAATGATGTTTTTCTCACGATGGTCTTCCAAGCTCGATGAGCGTTGACGAATTTGCCTTTGGCATTCACTGATGCAGCTTAGCTTTTCAGTTCTTGTTCAAGCGTAGTTAAAACTTCATCTATTGGCTCTTGGAAACCTGCGTCAACCTGTCCTCTCTTTTTTTCTGCAGGGACGTCACAGTTGGAGACATTGTCACCGTTGGAGAGTGCCGACCACTCAGCAAGACGGTGAGGTTCAACGTCCTCAAAGTGACAAAGGCTGCTGGAGCCAAGAAGCAGTTCCAGAAGTTTTAGGTGTGATATAAATGCTTTTTGGGCTGCTTTGTCTCACTGTCAAATAAAGGAAACCTTGTTTACTTTGCCTCTTTTGCAATTTTTCATCACCCCCACTTGGGCTTTAAAAAAGTGTGAACATCAAGTTCTGCTCGCTATTTATTGTGTATTTAGTTTTGTGTTTATACACAGGCCGTTTCCGAATTGTCACAGTTCAGTAGGCTGTACCTACTTTTCAGTATGGAGTTTCAGTATACTGAACTTCAGTGGTCATTCAGTGTGCGTTTTTTGGGTGCACCTCAGTATACTGAACATTTCAGTATGGATACCAACTTCTGGGTTTATGCCGTATGGATTGGATGCGTGCTTTCAGGAAATGAATTGTATTTTACCACCCACAATGCTGTGCGAAATTAATTGTAAATCTTCACTTCACGTCCGCCTGCAAATCAAAACAAATGAGCGTAGATTAATGGAATCCATTTTTAATCTAGAGTTAAAGTCCCGACTGAAATAACTACTTTAAATTAACAGAAAATATAACGACTGCATCATTATGAACACTTCCTCGTCTATTTAAATAATGAATTCACTATTTAAATGCGTCTTTATTGGTTTAGTTGACTTCATATTCTGTTTATTACTGTCTTTCATTTGTACTGTATGGTATTATCCGTCTTATACTGTTTTTCTTGACCTGACTGTGTGTGCGCATTACTCTTGAATAAAGCTAAACTAAAAAGTGTTGCAGCCGGTTCGGGAAACGTAAATGACGTCACTTCCTTACTGAATGGCTCAGACGAAGTAGGAACAAAGATCTGCCTACTGAATACTAGGTACTAAACAGTATACAGCACGGATAGTTGGTACTGCCTACTGACAAATTGAGTAGGTACTTGGCAATTCGGATGCAGCCTCAGTCTTGCATTAAACCTGTTGTAAATTTGTAACAGTATTATTGGTGGCCAAGTCTTATTTAGAGGTGACCCCTTTACTTTTTACAGAAGACTTCCACACTTCAGGTCAGAATCAGAGATATTGATTAATTCCTAGGGAAAATGTGCTCCATCATACAGTAGTAAGAATCATTGGACTATAAATCAAGTTAGCACAGATGAGAAATACTGTAAACACCTAATAAGGTCAGAGATTTGAAGAAATCAAGCTATGCACAAATAAACAGGGAATACATTAATATCTACAAAAGAGCAGCCCTGAACAAACAATTTGCACCAAGTACTGCATAGTAGTCATAAAAACAATGTCAAACTTAAGTATTGCACACTGGGTATTGAACAAATTGACTGGTTTAAGTCCAAATTGTAAAGTTTAAAGTCATAAATAATGGACGTGTTTACAGCTGCTATGGGTGGAAACTTCCCAAGCGAGACAGAGTGCCTGACCTTCAGAGGTAGGAGTTTTACAGACAGACAGACATTAGGCACATAGGGGGTTTAATGATCCAACAGTTCTTTCCCTTATATTCAAACATATATATATGTTTCAATTCAGTTTCAATTCAGAGCAAGAAAACATTGTACACTATAAAAGCCATTTGTTCACACAGGATAGACTACAAATAACATTTTGATTTCTCAAAAATCTTCTTTTAAAAAAAAAAAAAATCTTGTCTTTCAGTTAGGTACATGACATATTGATACAGCTCAATAGTCTCGAGGGATAAAATCAGCTAAATTGTCTCTTTCTCATTCAATTCTGTTGATCAAATTTCAGCAGATTCAAAGTCAGTCAAGTTCTCCTGGACAGTTTCCAACATGAGAAGAAGATCCTTTTCCCACCATCATCTGGTGAATGCTTTCTTGCTCAGCTTGGCTAACCAGCTCAACCAGTTATCTATCTCCTTATTCATCTGCCCTGCTGGTCAATATGCCCAGATACATAACCACAAGTGTTGTTGGTAATTCATACTCACTCTCTACATCTTAACTTTTACTTTAAAGTGTCACACAGTCCCAGAAAAGACGAGTATTGTAAGCTTTCTTCACACACACAGTCTGCAGCATGTTTATTGTACTGATGCAGATTCCCCTTAAGTCTTGGGAGAGATGAAGAATATCTGTATGTTTGTTTTTCTTTATTTTCACAGATCAAAATCTCTGGATGTTTGCTTTATCTTAATTTATCTGAAAGGCAGAGAGTGGATATTTATATTTTTAACTTACAACGCATGTCCTTGACTCTATACTTTACTTTATACTTTATTTCAGACCCATAGGTCCATATCGTTATAAAAAAAAGCACAGATATATAAATACAGACATTAACAAAGGGGTATCATCACTACATGTGATTACAACACAAAGAGACATTACACCTGTGTTTCCAGAAGCATGAGGAATACCTTGTGTCACTAAGTCTGGGCTGGGTCAGTGACATTATAATGACATTTTGTGAGTTATTTAATCGACACAAATTGAACATAAAATTTCTCAGCAGAGCATTAAATGTGGTCACATTATTAAAAACAAACATCTGACTTGCACTTCAGAAATATTCTGAAAGCGTCATTATATGCCACCTGCAGCTTTTGCATTTTAGCTTTACTATGATTGCGCCACAAGTGGGCAGTATACAGCGGAGTACAGTAAGCTCTAAACAGCTCAGTTTTAACTTTGTCTGAGCACATTGAAAATGCATGTGCCAGCATATTAGCTTGAGCATACAGTTTGGTAGCACTGACGCTGCACATCATCATCATCACTCAAGTCATTCCTGATAATATGTCCCAGATATTTGACCATATCTACCACACTCAGGGCTTGAGCAGAGATAATGAAGGAAGGCAAATTCTGCTTTCTATCATCCTTTGCTTTTACAATCATGACAACGGTCTTCTTACTGTTATACTTTATGTCACGCTGCACGCCATAACTCGAGCAGATTCTTAAAAGTTGCTGTAGGCCAGCACTATAAGGTGACAAGATTACTAAGTCATCAGCATACGTCAAATGGTTAACAATTCTATCTCCCACCATACAACCAGCCTCACAAGCTTTAAGCTGTTCAGAGAGATCGTCCATATACATATTAAAAAGAAGTGGTGACCTTGTCGGACACCATTGGTCACTGAAAAGGGTTCCGATATACTCCTGCCCCATCGGGCGCATATGGATTGATGCAAATACTAGAAATGCAATATTCTTATCAAATAAGGGGGGACCCCTCTGTTATGTAGTTTCATATATAATATACCGTGATTTATCCTATTAAAGGCTTTGGACGCATCCAGAAAACACATAAATAGGCCTATAGTGGAGTTTTTTGTTCTCCTGTAGGCCTACATGTTAACAACTTCCTTCAAAGCATATATACACATATCTGTACTGTGTTTATTCTTAAAACCAAATTGGTGGCCTGTTGTCGCAATGTATTCCTGAAGACCATCCAAGAGAATTAGTTCTAATACTTTTAAGAGTATACTAGCCACTGCAATTGGTCTGTAGTTCTCACTGCTGGATATTTTACCAGTTTTGTCTTTGACTACTGGCACTAGTAACACAGACAACATAGAATCAGGTGACACACCATGAATCAACAAACCAAATAAAATCTACTGGCACTAATATCTTTATGAACAAAAATCCACAACCTACATATATGGATAACACCAAATAAATCCTTGTTTATCAAATCATACTATTTATCTAATTTTCTGGTGTGTTACCTTTCCCACATCTATACGTTTCTTATTGCTGTATGTTGGAGAAAACTAAACGTGTTATTTTGTCAGTCTAACTAAACAGCAAGAATTATATTAGTTATACAGTAAAGTGTGCAAAGCAGCGCCCCCCAGTGTTTATAAACTTATAACATGTTTGATAACAATTTAGTCCAGCAGATGGCGACAGAGAACTGTTTGTGCAGCAGCCCAGGCTTGATTACAGCTGATGATCAATCTGTAGAGGAAACATAGGACCTATTGTGCTGTGCAGGTTTGTAGTGTATAAATAAAAGTAAGAAAGTTTCTCATTTTACAATCGTGATGAACAAACAAGTAAGGACAGTATTACAAAAAGTTACTAGATTATACAAACTATACTGTTTGCATTATAGTTGATGGGAAGTTTCCATTCCCATCATGAACTTGATCCAATATGTGTGAATTTTCCTCTTGAGTTTATGGAAAATACTCTCTCAAAATACCTCTTTTTCTGTCTGGCTTTCTGGTAGTAACTTGAGACTAATTCAATCGCAGCATCAATGAGACAAAGACACACAAGCACAACATGTTGATAGAAAAGTGTACAAATCAGGGTTTTATGTCGTCATTATTACAACAATGAATAGATGAAACCTAAACATTATTCGTACACTGAGTCATAATTTTTTCATATCAGCAGGAGCAACATTAAAGAACTTTAAAATGCAATCGATCATTGTTATCTGATGGTCTCAACATCCCCGCAGCCATAACAAGATCTGACCTCCTTCCTTTGTTCAGGTTTAAGCTTGATAAAGCTCAGTTTAAGATCCAAATGCATGCAGATAAACAAGCTGCAGCAGTCATTTGCATGTGTCCTTATTTCAGCTTGAGAGGATGACAGCTTTTCTGTACGGGCGTCACAGGCAACCCCCCCCACCCTTACCCCTGTCTACCATGTACCACAGCAGAGGCGTCACCATTAACATAATGATGCTGTAGATGTTTATCCTCAGTGAATATAGACCATATGTCATGACGTGGAGGGGAGAAAGTGTCTCATGGGGCTCAGCCGTGTAAGTAGCTCCATCATCTAATGATTAGCAGAGCAAGCTGATGTCATCTGCTAGCTTGTTTCATAATAACC